TGGTGCTGGGTCTGAGCACTACCCAAGTGTCCTTTCTCACGGTATCTATCTTGAACATTCTGTGGAGTAGTAGTCTTTTTTTATACCTCCCATCCTGTTAGAGTGTAGATTTGAATTGTCGTCCAAAGGCTCATATACTGAATAAAGGCATGGTCCTCGATTTAATAGTGTTCAGAGATGGAGCCTTTGGGAGCTGATTGTAATATGAATCTGGGACCCATCAATGAAGTCGTATAGAAACTGATCTTGCCTGGACTGCTTGATGTTATGCTGTATGAACCCACAGAGAAATGACTGCTGAACTTGCCTAAAGGTGAGATGGTCCTTTAGGGTTCCTACTTCATGAAAGAGTCTGCCAGACATTCTGCAGGACACAGATGAAAGTGACTGACAAACTGCCAATATAGTGGAACTGTCTTTAACATCTTCTGTTTCATGATACTATGGGCCTGTAGGCTAAAGATGGATGCCCCAATGTTACAGAAGAACTTTGGGTGACTGTCCAGGTGACAAGATGTCTCTGTTAATTCTAGAGTTTTGGAAGTTGCTTACAATGCAGCTTAGGTAATGTTTTATCCTTCTGGAGTCTTTGATGGAGTTGAAGAATAGATAGTTATAGTTTTCCTTAGTTATGATAAAAGATAAAGTAGATATAAATATTATAACTGTAATTTTTCTTGATAGCTGTCTTGTTATATGTAATTTTACTATGTTAAAGTTAAAACTTCCTTTGTAATTAGACAGAAAAGGGGATTTCTCTCTGCATGCTATGAATGTGTTTTATTATCATTGGTTTTAAAGAAGCTGCTTTGGCCTTTAGCAGGGCAGAATATAGCCAGACTGGAAAAGATATATAGAGAGAGTAGGCAGAGTCAAGGAGACTCCATGTAGCTGCCAAAGGAGACAGATTACAGAAAATTACAAGTAAACCATGAGCCTTGTGGTAATTCACAGAATAATAGAAATGGGTTAATTTAAGATGTAAGAGTTAGCTCATAAGAAGCTATTGGCCAAAAGTATTGCAATCAATATAGTTTCTGTGTGATTATTTCAGGTATGGGTGGCCAGGAGATGAACAAGCAGCCTCTGCCTACTGGTCTAAAGTCATGGATAGCTTTGAACTCTTTGAAAGTGTATGACCCTTTCTGGCCTTTAGAAGGTCAATGGCATGTGTGGGTGTTATTCAACCTGGCCCCTTATCAGGCCTAGAGATGAGGTCAGTTTTGGCACTGTGAGAGTGACGTAAGGCACGAAGTGGAGGAATTTGGACTTTTTTTGCTCTCAGGGGCTTGATTACCACCTTGACGAGGCTTTCTTTCTGGACCCTTTTCCCAGTGTCCTATTTCATCCTGATTTTCGTGGGTCTTTGAGTAAGACCTTTTCCATTCTGCACTGAGCTATCAGACTCCTTTGTCCTGCTGGGAATTCAGTTTGTGTGCAAACCTAGGCTAAGAGCCTAGCTGTGAACCAGGACCATGTCATGTACATAGAGAGGGATGGAGTCCCCTGCAGGAGGGCAGGAGGCATGGGCTCAGGAACCTCACAGAAGCCAACCACAAAACCAGTCTGACCTAGGGCCTGTCCTAGTGACTAACTATGTGAAGGGGAAGTTGCTTAAGCGTTTTTAACCTCAAGCTCCTTCTAGACAAGTGTCATGGCTGGACAAATTGGTCAGGATTGCTGAGTGAGTGTCCAAGTCTGTTTTGTGATACTTGGAGTATACAAAGCACCGTGCACAGGGTCCAATCTCCCCTTTGCACCTCCGCTGTTTGGTCCACATGCTCTTCTCCTCCCTCCTCCCCCATCTTTGTCTGTGTCATATATGCCATGTATGAGTATGGAAGCTATTACAACCAAGGCACCATTTTCTTTCTCTGTGACGCTTAGGTGGGAATTAAGACTCCAAAGGAAGAATAATTTACAACCATCATCACTGTGCTGCCTTCCAGGCGTACACTTATGCCAGACCTGAAAGCAGTTCACGACAACTGGTGCAACTTCCTAGCTTTGGGAGGCTTTGAAATTCCATCCAGCTAGTTCCTGAAAAAAAAATATTTTCTGTTCCACTAATTATTGTGCAGATTATCAATTCATTTGGGTCTTAATATTTCAATCCACTTTTTGTGGTATTTGCACAAGACCCGGTTCATTGTAGCATGATGTGTGTATGTGGAAGAAATGGATCTCTAGTTTTAAAATCATTTATATAGATTTGCAAGTCTCTGTTCTTTCTCTTAACTCTTATGAGCTTAAAATTTCCATCTCTTCCCATTTGAAGCATGGCCTCATGGCTCAGGGCCTTAAATTCATTACACAGCTCACCTTGGACTATTGGTCTTCCAGCCTCCCCTTCTGAGAGCTGAGATTAGGTGAGTTCCCATATGCTTGGTGTAGGGGGTGTTGGAATGGATCCCAGGGTTCTGTGTGTGCTAGGCCACGCTTTCCCAAGTGAGCCTCGTTACTAGGGCCTCTGGAATTTCCTGAGTTTATCATGTCAGAGACTATCAGAAAGTTCCCACGAGGCAGACCACTTAATTTGTTTCTTGGTCCTCATTTCCCCTGTAGTCTTTAAAAATTCTGAAGCCAGTGTATGTAGAATTCTGCGAGTTTGCACTGACAATGTTAGCATATCACCTATTAGGCTGGAAGAAATTATGGGTTCCATTGCAGAGGTCACTCTACAGGTTATAAGGCAAATTCCCTCCAATATATTTAGCTTTTTCATGCACCATGTCCTTTAAGACACCTGAAGTGGCTGCGCTGTGAACTTGTGACTGAGCTCAGAGCCAGCCAGAGGGTTAGTGGTCAACATTGAGATTAAACTCTGCAGCAAGTACTGGCTTCAGACATCTTTCCACTTCCCTTGTCCCATGATGATCTTAACTCAGGACCCTGCATTCAGGGCTTGCTGTCCCAGCCCTGTGGTTCTTCCACAGAGCTGTTCTGTCCTCTGAAGAGCTCCAGGGCTCTGGCCTCCCTTCCAGTTTCTCTGAGCTCTTGTCCTGGCCAGCAAGGGTTTTTTTTTTTTGTTTTTGTTTTTTTTTTTTTCCAGCAAGGGTTTCTTCTCCTATCATCCACCCCCTTAGTGTATGGAAATATGCTGACGTGCCTCACACTTGGGAAATACTTCCCTGCAATTCCCACTGAACTTGTGGTCTTTAGTAGTTAACTTACAGTCCACATGAAGGACCTTCTTACCAGGGGGCCTCTGTGCTATGGACTCAATTTGCTTAATAAAGGAGGAAGCAAACCGGATGAGCACAAGGGCACAATTTCTGTTCCATGTAAAATTGTTTTAATGTTCGTTAAATGTTTTTAATGGCTTTTAAAGTAATCATTCTAGTCAACCTTAGCACTTAAAACTCATCTTTTTTCCAGATAAATCCAGACAGTTCAATTTTCTAAGCTCAATGTGCAGAATAATGTTCAGAATAGCAAATCATTAAAGATCTAATACACAGGAGCCCATAGAAACAGGCAGTTACATGCGTGTGTGAATAGTACCATCTTTCTCTGGACAGTCTTGACACTGGACATGGTCCTTAAGGCCTCAAGTTATTTTCTGAGCTTGGGCATTCCAGGAACCTGAAGTGGGCAGGTGGACGTGTTCTAATGTTAAAGCAGCATTTCCCACAGGCATTGCCAGCTCCAGGGACGTGGTCTCTGAGCCTGCATCCTCACTGTGATCTGCAAAGCCTGTGGCTTCCCTCATTTCACAGACTGAAGCCAGCCTCTGCCTGTCCCCTGCACTCTCCTGCACATCCACCCTTCCGAGGGCAAACCTTTGTGGAAATGTTGGCTTCAGATCCTGGATCAAGTAAGGGTGACTTAATCCCAAAATGCACTTCGTGCAGAGCACAGGCCTTGTCCTTTGACTTGCAAACCCATTTTAGTCTCCACTTCTGTCATTTGTTTTTCATTGTCTGATAAGTTTCTGTAAACAAGGTGATGTCACCCTCTGGTCCACTAAAATTGCAAGCCTCTTGATTTTGAAAGTGGTGCCTTCAAGTGAAAAAGCAGACAGGTTGCATCCTGCTGTTGGTAGGACATTGTCCTTATGAAGGTTACCTCAGGACCCTTACTTACCCCAGGGTAACTTGAAAGGCCATTTGAGTTACCCTGTCATATCCGGACACTCATGTGTCAGGAGCCTGGGCAAGGTCCAGAATCAGGGATCCGCACAGATGAGGGTCTAGCTTTGGACTTCTAGTGTCCTGTGAGAGTGTTCCAGGCTCGTGTGTGGACAGCATCCTGTTGTCCCTTGAAAGCAAGCTTCTTGGAACACATGCTCTTCCACTCCATCACCCCCCACCTATGAGCCCTTTGTTCCCTTGCACTGTGATAATCGCCCGGAAATTGTCAGCCAGCTGCCTTGCAGCATGATGGGGCTATCTCAGAGTTCCTGTGCCCTTGGTGTCTGGTTCCTGGATTTACTGGCAAATAGGACCAAATATACTAATTTTTATGGTCACTAATTTGTTGAGCATATGACAGAGTCCTTATTTTTCTTAAAGAAAAATACTGAGACTAGCTGTTTTCTGATTGTTGTGGACTGTCTTATGACTTTAGGTGGATCATAGAGCTGTGGTGGATGAGAAAGCCTGGCAGCTGACAAACCAGCTGTTCTGGACACAGCAAATGGGGCTGGATTGAACTTTCAAGTCAGGGGCTACCCGCATTATGTCTTGTTCAGAGTTGGACCTTCCTGAATGACAGATTTCCACAGTCTAGGAGTGAAAGCCAAGTTCTTCAGGGAAAGAAAGTACCTTTAGCTTTGGGGGCATCCCTCAGTGGTCGGTGGCAGAGAAGGCGCTAAAGGAGATTGGAGGACCCTCCCCTCCCCCATCAGAATCCTGGGCCTGAGACTGCAAGGTATCTTTCTCCTGCCTCTCCCTGGGTGGGGGTTTGGCCCTTTGGCTTCGGGTTCAGAGTCCCTGTGAAGCTTAGAGCTGGGCCTGAGTGGGGTTAGGGCTTGGAGGGCGGGACCGTTTACAAGGCCCCTCCCACCTTTCCTTTAGTCCTTTAAAGTTCCCTGCTCTACGTTTCTGAAGGCAGTTTGTGAAGACCAGGGCCCCAGCACCATGCCTATGACACTGGGTTACTGGAATGTCCGCGGAGTGAGAGCGGGGTCCTCCTGACGGGTGGGACTAGGACTTGGGCGGGAAGTTGAGAGCCGCCGCGGCGGTTTTCCTAGCAGAGGAGTACTCCATTTAGCTCTCTGGAGCTCAGGCTGGCGAAGCTGCACATGCGAGGCTGTGCAGGTGTGAGTGTGAGTGTGTGAGTGTGTGTACACACCGCGGGATGCCTGTGTTTGTGGAGTGTGTGAGGACTCATTTGAGAAGATGAAGTCATATAGTAAGGGTCCGACCATCTCCAGCCTTTGTGGTCTTCTCTTCCAGCTGACACACCCCATCCGCCTGCTCCTGGAATACACTGACTCAAGCTATGAGGAGAAGAGATACGTCATGGGGGACGGTAATGACACCTTCCTGGTCAGTCTCCTGCCTCCTTCCCTCTTGCGCAGTGATGCTCAGCAGCCCATGCCTAGCCCCTTATTCTACAGGCCTGCAGCCCTCCTACACACAGTTGCAGCTACAGCCTGCTTCTTCCAGAAACCTCTTGAGGGTGCAATTTGGTTTTTTAAACAGTGGGAATGGCCTGGTGTGATGGAGCTCGCCTTTAATTTCAGCACTAGGGAAGCAGAAGCAGGTGGATCTCTGTGTGGTGGAGGTCAGTCAGGTCTACACAGTGACCTAGTTCCAGGACAGCCAGAGTTATGTAGTTGATAGACCTTGTCTCAAACAACAAGAAGAAAGAAAGCAAAGACACTGGGGGTGAAGTTCCTGATCCACCTGCATTTATAATTGTCCCGGGTTCACTACTGTGGTCCTTTTGGGTCCAGGCTCTCTTATTACCAGTTGTTTATACCCTTCTTCTCCAGCTTCAGTGGTGACAGTGTGAGAGGTTACAGATCCCTCCGAGTCTCTTGCTCTCTTGCTCCTGACTCCTTGGGTGGGTGGGTGCCGGAGGAAGAGTTAGACCCTGGGCTGACTTCTTTCCTCATCCTCTTGTTTACAGCTCCCAACTTTGACAGAAGCCAGTGGCTGAGTGAGAAGTTCAATCTGGGACTGGACATTCCCAATGTAGGTGCAGGGAAGGGGAGATTTGGGGAAGCCACAGTGTCCCTGCCTCAGCTCCTTGGTTGCCTGAGGACATTTGAGATCCATGTGTCAGCTCTCCTGCTCCCATTCCAGGGTTCCACAGTGTTTTTGTAATGTTCTGTGTCCTGGCTCTTCCATTCAGTGTGCGTCGAGCTCTCACCGAGGGTTTCCCATGCCAGACACTCTGAGTATGCCAGGCACCATGTCTGTCCTCACCTAGGAAGGGCATTTAGGGTCCTCATATCCCATCTGACTGTCCCTTATTGCTCTTCCAGCTGCCCTACTTAATTGACGGCCCCCACAAGATCACCCAGAGCAACGCCATCCTGCGCTACCTTGCCCGCAAGCACAACCTGTGTGAGTGGGGCTGGCTGCAGGGTGGGGCATGGGGGACAATCTCCTTGTCTTGTCTGGTGAGGGATGCTGATGGTGAATGTCCTGTGTGTGCTGCAGGTGGGGAGACAGAGCAGGAGAGGATTCGTGTGGACACTTTTGAGAACCAGGTCATGGACACCCGCATCCATCTCATGATAGTCTGCTGCAACCCTGACTTTGTGAGTTGCCCATGGTAGAGCGGGCAGGGTTGGTAGCAGGACTTAAAGGCTTGCATTCAGATCTGCAGCCTCCTCCTTCAGTTACTGATTCTCCAAGCTCTCTTCTCTTACCAGCAGAGTGACCCTCATAACCCAGCGAGATAGCACGTCGACACTGTGAAACTATCACTACTAGACTAACCTGTAAGATATGGTTGAGATTCTATAGAGTGAACTTTCTGACCCTAGACATTTACTGTGTCATTGAAATCCCCAATATTTCTCTCATTTGATGTCGTTTGACCACTTCCACGTGTCATCTAACCTAGTGTTCCCACTAACAATTCCTCTCAAAACACAGACTCGGAGGATAAAAATAAGGGCTAGGGAGGTGACTAGGAGGGTCAATCAAAGTCTTTGATGTGTAAGTCTGAGGACTTGATAATGGATTTCCAGTACCCACATTAAAAACAAGTAGACCCTGGCTGGGCGGTGATGGCGCACACCTTTAGTCCCAGCACTCAGGAGGCAGAGGCAGGCAGATCTCTGTGAGTTTGAGGCCAGCCTAGTCTACAAGAGCTGGTTCCAGGACACACACACACACACACACACACACACACACACACCTCCTACAAACATGTGCAATGGTTTCCCACATATACCTAGTACCTTCCAGGAGTTCTGTCTTTGGAATCAGTCATGGTCAGGACATTCTCCTAGGAGGCAGCTCAGGGCCAGTCAGAGGACCTGTGCTGTTCTTCTTGCCAATATTAGTGATGCTCAAATCTGGTGCGTGCTCTGCAATGTATGATCTGCTCTTGTGCGCCCCCACAAGCCCAGGTGTAACCATCTTCTCCTGGGATCTATAAATCCTTTGTTCCCCTGACTCCACTGGATCTCTCGGACCATAGCATCCACGATACTTAGGAAGTCCCGGATGTGACTCACAGCCCCTGGGTACCAGTGGGGACAGAGTGAGGGACAGTGGAGCATTCCTGTCTGTCTTCCCATCACCTCGAACAGATGACCTCTGCTACTAATAAAATGGGAATAATACTCATAATCCTAGGTCTTCAAGGCCAGCAGCCTCTCTGCTGGGAGCCTGAGCCTAAGGGTGGTGACAGCCCTTTTCTGTCTCAGGAAAAGCAGAAGCCAGAGTTCTTGAAGGCCATCCCCGACAAGATGAAAATCTACTCTGAGTTCCTGGGCAAGCGGCCATGGTTTGCTGGGGACAAGGTAAAGAGAGGGAGGTGGAAAGAGGAGCTGCCGTTCTTCCCAGATTGTCAGATGCCGGCCACTCACCCTCAGCTCCCTGCAGATCACCTATGTGGATTTCCTCGCTTATGATATTCTTGACCAGTACTGCTTATTTGAGCCCACGTGCCTGGATGCCTTCCCCAACCTCAAGGACTTCTTGGCCCGCTTTGAGGTGATGCCCTTTTCCTGCTTCCTTTGCTTGACCTCCTTTTTCTCTTCCTCAATGCTTTTCTCACCTGAGACTAAAGGAAAGCAAGTAGGAGTTTTTTTTTTGGGGGGGGCTTTCTTTACAGACCCTTATGGGGCAAAATTTACCATTTCAAAATCCCCAAAGGTGTTGGTGGGGGGACATGCAAATGCCACAATCCTGGGACAGTAGAGAGCTGTAGAACCCAGACTGTGAGATGAATGTGATACTCCCCATGGCCGCTGAGCCTGGTCTGGGGTGTACCAGACTTCAGTCTCGAGTTGTCTACAATGGGGAGTCTGAGGTCTTGATCCAAGGGTTTTTCCTCCCTGCAATCTGTTGACCTGGTTCATTTCCCACCAAGGAAGGTTGCGCTTTCCCACCTGATTCTCCTGGGCTTTGTGCTGGCCCAGGCTGGGTGCCCTAGGGGAATGTCCAATCGCTGGCATGGCTCTAGGGTGGGTGTGTGGGGAAACACAGCGCCCCTTAGCCCAGCTTGTGTCTAGTTGGCCGTGGATTTTTTCCCACCCTCTGCAATTGTCTGTGTATTCTCCAGCTTGGTGTTGATGCCTTATAGCACAACATACAGTCACATGAAGTGGTTCCTGTGCTGTGGGTACAGATGAGGGCAGCCAGGGTGCAGTGAGATTGTTCTTAGGAACCAGCTGAAGAATTGTCAACGCCGCTCCCGGGAAATCATTTAGAATGATACTCAGCCTTTCTTTGCTGGCTGTTCTCTTGATGTCCCCTTTCACTCAGGATTTGCCAAGTGCCTGGGTTCCACCTGTCTTCCTGGATCTTTTCTTCCTGTTGCCTCCCTCCTGCGTGTGTCAGTACAATCCAGAAAGTGCTTTCCTGTGGAATGTCTGTTTGGGGCGTGGGAAGGTCGTGCAGAGACTGGCAGCCCCAGAGGCAAACTGATTCTAGCCCTGTCTTAGTCACTACCATGCAAGAAGGGGAAGTTGGTTAACCTCGCTGGACCTCTGATTGCTGGTCATGGTGTTTCCTGAGCCTGTGTTGTAGCCTTTAGTGGGTATAAAGCACCTTCCTGGGGTCTAGTCTTTCTTGTATTATAGGAATTGAAGAGTTCTCTTGCCAGGGCTGGGAGCTAAACTGGCTGTGCTGTGCTCCAGGGCTTGAGCTTTTGAGAAATGAGCTTTTGAACCTAGTGAGGCTGCAGACCCGAGCTCCTGCTGTGCTTTCTTCTCAATTTGCAGGGCCTGAAGAAGATCTCTGCCTACATGAAGAGTAGCCGCTTCCTCCCAAGACCTGTGTTTACTAAGATGGCCCAGTGGGGTACCGATTAGGCCCCTGCCAGCCCCTGCCATGCGGGCACACACAGGGAGGATCTGTCCACACTGGGATCCTCCAGGCCCTGGGATAGCTGGTCTTCTGTACCGTGCCTCGCTGTTCCCATTTCTTTCTCCTTTCCACAAGACTTTGTCAGCCCCCTGCTTCCTAATCAGGCCGGTCCTAGTCAAGTCCCTGTGGTTGACATTCTCCCTGCTTCTTTCCACCACGGCCCCTTCTTCATTTGTGCCCCAACCGACCACACAGTCCTCTTCTGTGATTTGATGTCTGCCCTTAACACAGTTCCCTAGAATTACCCTACAGGTCAATTCTGTTTCAAGTTCCCCAGTGGCGGGGCTCCCCCAGGCCTGTATCATTTCCAATAAAGCCTGAAACACACTTGCTCTGTGTTGTGCCTTTTTCTTTTTGGACTTGCTAGGCGTCACAACTGCTTCCAAGAGTCTGAGCTCTGAGCCTGTAGCGCCCAGTTCTGAGGAGTCTAATGAGACTGGAGGAAATTTGAAACATCTTGCTTCTACTTCAAGACCCTCACAGCGGGGACAAAGCTCTCTAGAGGACAGAGTATGTTTGTCTGGACTCTCGTTCACTGCGACGTGTACTGGGACTCTGACCTGTGAAAATGAGTGAATGGGGCTGAATGAATGATGATGTGGCGGGTGTGAGTGGCCAGGAGGGACTTGGGATGGTCTCCCTACCTCCACATCCCTGGCTGTGTCAATATTGGGTTTCTAGGATATTGCTTTTACTGGGTCTTTGATGTCCTCTTCTGTCTTGCAGCTCCACTGGCATGGGGACCTTCATTCTTGGTTACCCTTCCTATTTGTGGAAAGGGGATTGAATTGACCCTTATTCTCTATAAATTTACTGTCAGTAAATCTCCTGGTCAGTGAGGTTTCCTGTGTCTCTATTTAATATTGTGTTATTCAGACAGTTCTTGGAGAACTGTGATGAATCTGTGACCATCAAACCCTTGTTTTCTGCAGGCCTAATGCAATTGGTTACTGTTGCATTCAGGGTTTTACTACAATGGAATGGTTGATTCCTAAGGCCTGCATGGCTCTAGGATAGACCTGACTGGGGCAACTGGAAATGAAAAGAGACTGAAACAAGTCCAGAAGGAACCTGGATGGGTAGGCCATGTACTCCGATGGAGATGCAATAGCCACCCAGAAATTCAGCGTGTACAGCTGAACAAGAAGGTGGGTTTATAATTTACAGATGATCTCGGACGCTTGCCAGCTAACCTCTCTAATGTCTGGAGAGGAGCAGTCTCCATCCAACACAGTCACCCTGTTGGAACTTCTGCACATACTGGCAGCATCTATTGTTGGGCCACCAGAAAGCCTTGTCTTCTGAGCCTGACCTGGCGAAGGCCTTGTCTTTCTCATGGGTCTGAGGCATTGTGGTTCTTGATATAGATATGTCCATATGAGCAATATACATTCACTCAGACTTCATCTGCTCCTTGAAGTTGATATTTTATGTCAAATAGTCAAATAGACTGTGCTGAGAGCTCCCAGGAAGTGTGTAAAATGTATGCTGGTGTGGCCTTGGTGATATTTCTAGGAGTGATGCACTTTTGCCTCAGTAGACTGAATAAGGAGGATCACTCTCATTTCTGGGGTTAGGTACCACTCATGGGCACAGGGCTTAGTGGAATCAAAGCTGGGTGATGTGTGAGTTCATTCTGTCACACCCAGGCATCCCTGGCCTGGTCATGTGCATTCTTTTCTCAGGCTCTGTCTGGTGCTTTCCCAGTGCTTCCTGTCCAGTAAAGACCAGTTCCACCATGGGCTTTGTGGGGTCTCCTGCAGTCAGTGGAAACTGGGAGGCAAACTACAGGAGCCCCTTTCCATTAGCACTAATATACGCAGATCCACAGAGCCCACAACAGCATGCCTGCACCTTCTATTGATCCCGTCTCATGGGTCCTGGCTGAGCCTGGAGGGCAAGGGACGAAATATCGGCAGTCCTTATAGATCCTCTCACCCTTATTTGTGGAGAATTCCAAGTTTTTTTGGTGAACACCCAGAAGGGCAGCCTTGCCAATCTTGTAATTTTAACTTATAAGTAACAGTTTGATCAGGTTTAGAAAAAAAACACCAAACCAAAATCTTGTCTTTGTTAAGATTCTGTTTCCCTGGTTATATTAATGAAACAATGTTTAGTAGGACCAAGAGACCAATATCCTAGGAGAATTCTGTTGACTTAAAGATAATTTTGATAATAGTGTATTGAACTTTGACCATAGTAGTTAATAACTTTTAGGCACGAAACACACATCATCCACAGGCCCTGAATAACATATTCAGGCTGTGTGCAACTTTACTTAAAGTTTAAAAAAAATAGTCTTCAACTTTTATCTTTTACTTTTAGTACAAAAATCTTGTTTTAGTATACAAAATCCACCTTTATTACAGATTTTTTAATTTTTACCCTCTTACCAAAAATATATTTATTTTTATATTTATATTCTTTTCAACTCCTCTTTATTTTGTAATAAGAGTTTAATCCAAACTGCATATGTGGCACAGTGTAGTAAATTAAGATTATCTGAACATGTATAGTCAAATTTCTAAGCTTTGTTCCTCCTGCAAGTCTTGGGAATACTTCTCATCACTTGGATTTTAATATCTTCCCCCTATGGTCTCACAGAGTCTGAAAGTAAGAGAAAGCTTTATATTCCATGAAAGGTCTGCAAAGTTATCAGTGACCTTGAGCACTGAACATTTCCTGTAAATAAGAAAAAGGAGAAGAGAAAGTCCACAGAGATTCAAATATCTTTAGGTATTAATCCTCTAATTGCAGCATTAAGTACAAAAGATGTGTATTCATTATCTATTACGTCAGTCAAGTTCCTTTAGATATGGCAAAGACAACCACAGACCAAGTTACCTGCCCTCCATCACTTGGTTTGAACCTTCAAAGACAATTCTTTACATTTAAGTCAGAACACCGGCACAAGGGACAGTGTTCTTTGGTGTTAGGCAGCTAGACTAATACTAGGAGACTTTGAAGCCATCTGAAGACAAACTGAATTGTTGTATATGATCAGCTCCCTGCCTTTCTGTTTCTCTGAAAGAAAGGATAACATCAAGACTGCAGATTTCAAATACCAAATGAGGAGATGGAAGACCAAGGTATCAGGGCTTTGCTGAGACACATTAAAGGAAGGTATTTCTTCCTGGTCAGTTGTAGAATCTGAGTTCTACATCTGGCCCTGGGTGCAGGCATGACATTCTAAAATGTTCAAAATAGAAGATTACAAATATATACTATTGTCTCCTCCCTTAAAAGTTATCCAAATAGACTTGTCAATGATCTGGCCAGGAGATCACATCCTCAAGAAAGCTGATATACCCGAAGGCATGTCAAGAGATGGGAGGAATAATTATCCCATGAATGAGATAGCATATTTACATATCCCAAAGCGCCTCCCTTAAAGCAGTTGCTCATAGATTAGAACTCTCAGCTATTGTGTCTGCCTGTGTGCCGCCATGCTCCCTGCCATGAGGAGAACAGACTAAACCTTTGAAACTGTAAGCAAGCCATTCTCATTAAATATTTTCTTTATATGAGCTACCTTGGTCTTGTTGTCTCTTCCCAGCAATAAAAACCCATGCTAAGACAACATGCTAACTTAAAAAGNATAGTTGCCATGGTCATGGTGTCTCTGCAAAGCAATAGGACAATGACAAAGACAAATACTAAAAGCCCGAGCAAGGGGACTTTGGCTCTTGAGGAACACTGGCAGGATATTGTATTTGAATTTTAACCTCAAGTCTCAGGTCCCACAGTGGCATGAAGAGCAATTAAGCCACCCTCTCATTCGCAGACACACAAGAATCCGGAGCCTGAGCTGATGCAGGGGAGCTGGAGAGCTGAGAGCCTGACCCTGAGCCCCGAGATCCTAGGGAGCTACTGCAGTGCCTCCTCTCAACAGGAGTCTGTAACCCCTTGGAAGTGGGGGAGGTGTCTGGTTTCTTGGGACACATGCTCAATCTCCCTAGCACACTCCAGCTGTGAGTTCTGTGCTTCCTCCCACGGTGTTGGTGAGCGCGAGGCTCTGCCAGCAGACTGCTGCCAGAGGCAGTGGGAAACCCCTAGTCCCCACCAATATGGCCAATGTACTGATTAATTTATATGCTCAGTAGCTTGATGATCAAAGACTTGCGTCTCCAACTAAATCCCCTAAAGGAAACACAGAGACTCTAGTGGTGCTGTTTGTCATTGCCCTGGGGTCATTCCCATGTTACCTCTTATTCCTGTAACTCTAGACTGTGGGACAGCATGTTTTGATAGCTTTCAGAGGAGAGGAATCCTGGAAACAGCGATAGGTGTTGGATTAAACTCTCAGGTTGGGGACATGTTTTTTTGGTCCTTATATTGAGGGATGACAGATTCCCACAGTCTAGGTGTGAAAATGGAGCCCTGTAAAGAGAGGAGGGAGAGCTGCTTTGTTCTCTGCCTAGCTGGCCAGGCTCCAGGGCACTGCCAACTGCCTGAGGACCCAGCAGGGGGAGGGTTTGTGGGCAGGGAGCCACTAAAGCAGGCCTGCCAATCACCGCCTTAGGTATCTGAATACTCAGACCTGCCCCTGGAGATTATTGGGTTTGGACTGGATTTCACTACTGTCATGTTAAGTTGGGCTTCAGGCCTTGAGGGTTGGCCCATCTGGGAGTGGAGCAGGAAATGCATGCAAGCAGACACTGCCCCCTGTGCTCTGGTATCGGAAAGTAAAATCCATCCTGACTGAAGGCAGTCTGCTCAGACTCTAAGGCTAGAACAGAAAACACGCCCGTGACTCTGGATTATTGGGATATCCATGGGGTGATTTAAAAGGTTGGGCTGCTAAGTGAGGAGAGCCCTGGATTGGGACACAGAGAAGAGTTAGGCTTGGTTCCAGGAGGTAGAACCTCTTCAACGCTTTTTAGAGTCTCCTACCTGCTCCCTATGCGTCAGGAGTCCTATGCGTGCTCCTGTTCTATTGCTAGGGATAGAAATTGAGGCTTTCCTAGAGGAGGTGAAGGCACACATTTAGAATCTCACTAACTGTGACTTTGGTTACCGGCCGTCTCTCTCAGCTGGGCCATGCCCTCTGCCTGCTTCTGGAACACACAGAGACAAGCTACAGAGAGAAGCGCTACACCTTGGGGGAGAGTATTGGTGGTAATGGTCAGATTCTTCTCCCGCTTCTCACCCATTCTAATCCTCCAAGTTTCCTATTCAGCCAACACACTCACTCCTTAACCCCCAGATCTTATGAACAAACACTGTGTAACAATGCCTAGAAACACTTAGTATTATTGTGACAGCCATGGCTGGGCACTTGGTTCCTATATAATAAATTTACATATTCAGAATTGAATTCTTCAATT